ATACACTTATAAGAAAAATACAGTAACATAGTTTACTAATGATGACCTGTTTTATGTCAGAAGCACTTCCTTATTAAAAATATAAATGTATAGGGGCACCTGGGTGGCTCAGTTGGTTAAACATCTGACTTTGGCTCAGGTCATGGTCTCATGGTTGATGGGTTTAAGCCCTGCGTCGGGTTCTGGGCTGACAGCTCAGAGCCTAGAGCCTGCTTCAGATTCTGTATCTTCCTCTGTCTCTGCCTCTCCCTTGCTTGTGCTCTGTGTGTCTCTCTCTAAAAGCAAATAACATTTAAAATATATATACATATATATGTATATATAGTAGAAGTCATATGAAAAAGGAGATCCTTAAATGGAAAAGTTCACTCTGAATTTTGTATTTTAAACTAAACGACATCAAAATTTTCAAAAAATTTTTCATGTACATAGTGGTATCAAAGCCTAAAGTATGTTCCACCCATGCAAATTAGATAAAATGGAAATCAGATGGGCAGATTCAGAAAAGATAGAATTCACTAGTGTTTTTGAATATGTGGCATGGCAATTTGCCTTTTGTACAATGAAATATTAATTGCACATTTTTAAAAATCACAAAGGTTGTAAGTCTCCCTGGAATCTAGAAAGTCTTTCCTATTTCTTAATTACCAAATCTGGGTTGGGCGGCACGGCTTTCTCATGGCTCCTCTTGCATCAAGGGTCAGCTTTGTGATTCCCTCTGAAAACGACAGTATGTTAACATACACGGTTTGAGTGGGGGATGGAAAAGGGAAAGGTGTTAATTCAGATGTTATGAAACTGTGGTAATGCCATTACTTAAGGCACTTATTTGGGTATGTTTATACTTTGTAGTTTTATAAATAAACCCAAGGGGCTCCTCCTGGTTGTCACAATCCTCCTTGAATCTCGTATCCTGTCTGTCTCTTCCTATCCGACAGTAGAATTGATGCCGCTCTAATCCCTGGAAGTTTGGAACTAATGAACTGACTGCTGAGCTGCCGCCACGGAGCTTGGTCCCAAACTATACTGTACTTCACACTCGATTTATTCTCCAGATGGCGAGACTGTGCCACCCTGCCGCGAGGGACCACCTCTTCCACTGGAGTGTAAAAGTGGACGGATGTTGTTTTCTTTGCAGATTTGATCATTCAGAGCTAGAAACTTGTGAGGATGATTAGTTATTAGCTTTAATGGGTGCCAATTGAACCAACTGCACGCATATTTTCTCCTTTAATTTTGGAGTCTGCAGGTCTTGGCGATGGTTGATTTATCCGCTTTCTTACGTCACTGGAGCGTGTCTCTTCCCCAGGTGATAAGAACCGGCTCTCTGAAATCATAGCACGCCTCGGTTCCTGGCCCAGACAGACTCACATAATAATGTGGCTTATGTATAAGGACAAGTTTATTAGCCACTGGTCCACTGCACTGAGCAGCCCATGGCACGAAATATCGATTGATTGTGGGAAGTTTGGTGACACCACTTTTTATTTAGAACAAGTGCCGACGAAAATTCTGATCTGTGCCTACTTTCTCTGTGAGCTCTGTGGAGCCCACCTCTCGAATCACATGCTACAGAACACACTGTGATAATTCATCTCTGCAAAGATCTAACGTAACTTCATAAAGGCTGTAATTCCATTCCTTATTCTGGTTTCTTTTCCCCACGTTTTCAGATTTTAGAGGAACAAGCTCATCCTACATTAAGAAAAATCATACCAAGGCTATTCTGTAGTATTAACACATTTAGAATGCAGTTCTTTCTCAACCTGATTTTGAACAACCCATTTTGCTACCAGGATGTAAGACACCCTTTCCTGCAAAAAAGGCCTTTTTTGAGTGGCCTCTTTTTGCTTTAATATCCTTTTCCTTCTTTTTGCCAGGGAACATTACCTCCAATAATGGGTGGTGTCTGCCAGGCTGTATCTTACTAATCCCCTGAATGAGATGGAAATTGGAAGAATAGTCAGGGCCAAATAGGAGGCAAAGAAAAAAGAGAAAGTGTGAAGGGAGCGAGGTGATGCAAAGGAGAGAGCTGTAACAGAGAGATTAGTATCAAGGAGAGAGAGAGAGAGGGAGAGAAGGAAGGAGAGAACAGAATTTCTTTCTTTTCACAACTGGGTGGACTGTGGCTCTCTCTAGCTGAGCACCCAGAACTAAACTTAATTGTTCTTAGAAATTGCCTTCCTCTCACCCAGCAGATGGCATGGGTGTGTTTGCTAGCACAGTAACATATTTCACCATTAAAGCACCAAAAAGAAAAAAAAATCAACATACTTGTTGGTTGGTATAAATTCAGTGAGGTTGTTGGATATTTTGGGATACATAGCAGAGGGATGCACACTCAGTTTATGTAAATTACAACAAGCAACAGCCTGTTAATAAGGGTGTTGTGTGGCAATATACCTCCAAAGCCATCATCTTTTTCTGGAAAGGTACAGAATGATGAAGTGGAAAGCACTTGTTTTAATTCTGAGCCAGAAAAAAAAAAAAAAGCTAATAAAATGCTGAGTATTCACTGTTCATTATTATAACATGAAAAGTACTAATCAGATTATGCCTAAAATTAGAATTAGGTATTTCATTTGCAGCCAGTTTCACAAGGGTTGAATTTTACTAAGTAAACAGGAATGTGCTGAAACCATGGCAATCTGACTTTAGATAAAAATCATGAACAGGTTTAGCACATGAGCTTTGAACAAACAGTCCCTTTCTAATCCAAAGGAAACAACAAAACAGCTTAGGGGTCAGATTTTGTTTGACACCAACATGAACAATTTAGGAAGTTGGTGTTGCCAGGGACCCGTCACCTTGAGCACACATGCAGATTAGAGAGTGTGGATGATGATTCAAGTAACTCGCGTTTTTAAATGCATTTCAGGCTAAATGATCTGGTTAGTTCCCTTCTATTTTCCATTCACTGTGTCCCAGTAGACCCTTTACAAGCCCAACCTGCTATTGAAAGAAATCCTGGAAGTTGAAATATTTACAGGCTGCTGCAGTCCCAAATTTGTAGCTATGCGGGCTACATGGAGCAGAACACATTCTCCGTTCTTTGAGGCCACGGATCTAAACACCCATACTGCCAAAGAGCTGAAGGCCTTTCTCTCGACAGCGAGAGGTGTCTTTAGACCCATGATGCTGAGCTCACTTCTGCTCTTCACCTGCAGGATTTTCCTGTTTAATGAATAGGATTTCCTGTTGAGTGAATGGAACAAGGCATGGTGGAGCAAGTGGATGAGTTTTATGGCTGTGGAACAGCCAAAGGCATGGTGTGGAACCAGGCCACTGTTGGCTCCATCAGCCCTCACTTTAGCTAGTGTGAGCTCTCTCTTGCTTTTGTCTAAGGTTGGCCTAATTATCAGCAGTCAGGGCTCTGTAAATCAGGGCTCCACAGAGCTGTCTTAAACTGGTCTCCGTACTCTGTTTCCATCTGACCTGACAACTCTAAGCCACTGTTTCCTCACACTGTTTAACTCAGACCACATTTGGAAGACTTCCCTGCTCCCACTCGGTCATAGACCTACATCCGTCTGCTTTAAATCTACTGTCCTGGCTTGTCTTGTTGATTAGACTTAGACCCAATATTGGCTCTAATAATTCTCTCTCTCTTTTTTTTTTTTTTTGGTCTGCACTTTGGTTTGCTATTTTCCAGATAAGTATTGCTGTTCAAATGGCTGTATATTGTGAAGACTTTTTTTTTAAACCACATTCATCAGCAGCAAGAAGCTTTAAAGTTTTATTAGTATCATAAAAACCCTTCCCAAATGAAACTACTTTTGATAAGTGTTCATTCTGACAATGAGAATTTGTTGAGGGCTGTTGGCAAGTTGGAGGAATTTGTTTTTGAAACTGAAATTGGCAGGAAGTAATGACCCCAAGTGCTTTCTTTCTCTTGACTCGCTCAATGTCCTCCTTTCTATCCCCACCTCCTTCCCCACCTTCAACACCCCAACTCAGAGCCAATAAATAACATGTTTGGTTTCATACAGTTTTTCTAAGGACAGTTCATACACTGAAGCAGCCTTTCAACCTTTCAGCTTGTTTTAACTATGGAGTACAGACTGTCAACTCAAAGTAAAAAATGTATTTGTCTTCCACTTCACGAGGGGATTTCTTGGTGATATTATTGCCTTCCATCTGAATAAGTTGGAGCTTTTTTGTACTGTGGAGTGTTATTTTCCTGTGAGTGCCTTCTTAATTGAATGTCAAAATTCATCTTAGTTGCAGAAAAATTTTGAGCAAAAAGCATGATGCATATGGAAAGAGGAAAACAAATCCTTATTTTTCCCCTAATGTGAATATGCCGACAGATGAGACTATAATCATCCAAATGTTATGTAGTTCCTTATATTTATTAAACGAGAAAATGCAGGCAGAAGACTTTGACTCATGCCTAGAGCTTAGTAAATGCTCAGTAAATGTTATGTATTAATTTATCTTTCCAGTTGGAAATAAATGCTAATGAGCAAGACAGCAGTGTTATTTAGAAGTGCACCAGGGGCACCTGGGTGGCTAGTCAGTTAAGCATACGACTTTGGCTCAGGTCATGATCTCATAGCTCGTGGGTTTGAGCCCTGCATCGAGCTTGCTGCTGTCAGTGCAGAGCCTACTTTGGATCTATTGTCCCCCCACCCCTCTCTGCCCCTTCCCCGCTTGAACTCTCTCTCTCTCTCTGAAAAATAAACAAATCTTTTTTAAAAAGTGCACCAGTATGCAATATGGTGGCTATTATCTCTGTTATAGTCATCTTGAATGAAGTCTGGAAGCCAATCACTCGTCCATCAGATTGGACAACTTGTTTCCAATACCATTTATTTGCTGGACAGGAAATGTGTAGGTAGAGTCATGGTGCTCAGACTCTGAACCCACATAGCAGGCTCACGGTCAGTAGGACGGTGTTTCCTCTCGGTGATAAACAAACTTAGGAGATACATTTTATCGACACTTACAGAATGAAGCTCTATCAAGAATAGTAAAAACCCTTGAAGACTTTGATCTGGGCCTGACTGAAAAGTGTGTAAGAATCAACTCGGTGTCCAGCGGTCTGGCCGAAGAAGACCTGGGGATCCTCCTGCGATCCCGGGTTCTTCCTTCCAGCCTGATGCTGCCGAAGGTTGAAGGTCCTGAAGACATCCAGTGGGTGAGTAGTAATGCTTTGCTTTAATTAAAGACTCAGGAGCAGCTATGAAGGAGTACCAGAAAGGAAGGATTTGGGTGCTGCGGATTTTGAAAACACGTACATGGAACAGAGAAAAAGGGAGCTGAGGAAAAGAGGGGAGCCCGAAAGGCTATTGCCTTCACAGGAGGGGAGCCCGGCTTTCCCCAGTGTGTTCCAAGGAACAGCTCCACTCTTGCGATAATGCTTCTGCGTCCCACTCACATTTGCGGCTGGGACAGGACAGTGTCCACAATCTTTGGAAACTAGCTTTTGCCTGAGAATTGGATCACACCTCACACCCTGCCAGGCCCTAACCTCCACCTGAAAGAGTAGGGAAATAGATGGCTCTTACCCAGGTTCATTTGAAGTCTTCATACACAGTGAAAGCACATTAGCCACGAATGAAAAAATGAGCCCAGAGGAGGAGAGGGAAAGGTCACTCCTGAGGGCAACTAGAGGAATAAACAGGAAGCTTTTAACTAGTGGTTTTAATTAGCACAGATATTATTTCCTGAACAGCTCTCCAGTTCGTCCTTTTTAAATTGCTGACAGGTGTGTTTGTGTTTCACGACAGACTTTTCAGCCAATAAAAACCTGGCATGTCAAATTACTTAAGAAAACTTTGAAATGGGCCTAATTATACTATGATTGTTTTAATTGTTAAAGTAAAGGGAGGCTAGATTTTATTTAGGAGTTGCTATGATTTTGCTGATCTCTGCTGAATAAAATAACGGTGCACTGTGCCACTCCGGGGTACAGAGGCTGTGATTCGTCAGTGCTGGAAGCTTGGTAAGGGCGTGTGGACAGGGGTGGTTTTCAAGCCACATCTGGGATTATCTCTAAGGCTATGGCTGCGAATGTAGCAATACAGTGAATAGGTGTAACACCTATTCCGTTCCCCTTTCTAATGCTTGTAGATGCCTTCGATCCATACTTTCCGGTCCTGCAGCCACCTGCCACGTGTGGCTCCTGAGCGCTTGAGCTGTGGCAAGTCCAAATTGAGATGTGCTGTAAGTGTGAAATACACAAGGGAGTTTGAAGACTTAGCAGCCCTCTCCCCACAAAAGAATACAAATTACCTCAATAACTTTTATATTGATCACATGTTGAAATGACGATATTTCAGATCTGTTGGGTTGAATAAACATTATTTTTTAAGATTTTTTTTACTCCTGAAACCAGTATTACATCATATGTTAACTAACTCGAATTTAAATAAAAATTTGAAAAGACAAAAAAGAAAAGTAGTCTACAAAAAAATAAATGTAAAAAATAAAGATTTTTTCTTTAAGTAATCTTACACCCAACATGAGGTTTGAACTCACGACCCTGAGATCAAGAGTCACACACTTCACCAGACAGAGCCATCCAGGCACCCCAGGCTGAATAAACATTATTAAAATCACATTCACCTGCTTCATTTTACTCTGTTAATGTAGCTACTAGAAAATTTAGAATTACATATGTGACTGCCATTTGGTTTCTGTTGGACAGCTCCGCGTTGGAGTCTTTCTGAAGACCAACGTTCAAGGACCTATATTTACTGTCTAAGCTGGAGTTCTTCTCTCCAAGGTCACCCCTCAGAAACTGGGAGATACTGGTTAAAGTAGGTTACAATTTCTGAGGCCTCCTACCCCATTTGAACGGGTCTTAAATTGATTGAAATGGAATCTGCAGCCACTGTTCCCTTTTGGTTTCGTAGTTAATGCCTGTTTATCACCGTTATTACCCTTCATTTAAGAGGCGAGGACCTACCCCAGCCTTCAGCTACAGCTCCCGTTCGCTGTTTTAAATCCTTGGATAGAAATAGGATTTCTAGTTAACAGAAGTCTTCTGGGCTGTTTATTTTTTCGTCTCCGTTTGTATTTATGTGAAGCATAAAACCCAGAGCCTGATGCACAACTGAAAGATGGGCTTCCTTGTTTTCTTTTGTGTGAGAATCTCTTGCTGGTCTTTTGTCGCTAGTGTGGGTTCTTGTTTGACTGGCACGGCTTATTGGACTATAACAAGCGTGACTCTGCCTCCTTTGTCGCGGGACAATTCTCCCACAAATCCCGAACAGTGTGCATTCTTCCAACACACTATTGGGTGTGCACTGGAATTGAAAGAATTGCTGAGCCCTGCTACTTCATCTCCTCCCCAATCTCTTTGTGATTTTTTCCCCTTCTTTTCCTCCACCCCCCTCCCCCTTCCCCTCCACCTCACTGAAATGAACACTTTACCAGGCCGGAAACATTTAATCGTCTCCTTTTGAAAAAATTAATTGAAACTTCTCCACTAGTTACCTTTTGTGTCAGTACTTAATGCAATTTTTTAAGAAAGAAGGGGAGGAGGAGGAGGAGGAGAATGGGCTAGAATATTTAATGTTTAAATGCCCCTATTGGCTTAAAAACAAAAGGCATTACAGATTTTTTCTAAGAACAAGAAATATAAAGTATTTAACTAATTTTAAACTTTATGATTTTTGTAGTTATAACTGTGATCACAAAGAATGGGACAAGTAATGTTGCAGGTTTCTTCTTTTTTTTTTTCTTTAATGAGGAAAAAAGTTCCTACAGCACATATATAACACCAGAACCACTAATATTTCACTACCCATTTCCTAGCTTAAATGTGACACAAATTGTGTTTTCTTTTCATTTACACGAAATATTATCCATTTTATCTCCTTCAGTTGTAGCCTTCTTTCTTGCTATTTTGGTTGAGTTATTCCTTCCCTTGAAAAGTTACTAAGGAGGTGATGATGATGGTGTCTGAGGAGGGGAGGAGTCGCGGAGCAACTGGGAATAATTCTTCATTACTGAAAGCTGTGATTTATTTTAGCCTAATTGTAAAGTTACTGCAAATTGCTCAAAAGCTTTTTAAAGATCCCAGTGATTAGATTTTTTAGGGGGGGGGTGCTGCACAAGCAAGGAGGGGGCAGCTAAAAGGGGAAATAACACCTCTAATCCTGCTTCTGGTAAATAGGCTGCCAGCTTTTAAAATGAGTTTCCTTTCTATTAGTCAGAATATTATGCTAAGCCTTAAGCATTAGTTTTTTTATGTTGCCATAGCAGCCCTATTCCTGCAGGGTGGTGACCTCCGATGATTACAGTACAAAGCTTATAGGGTCTTGAAACCCCCTTTGAAGATGAAAAGTCTTTGATGGTTTATATTTATGCAAATCTCTTAGATATGATTTACCCAACTGAGACTGAATGGAGAGATGATTAAAATTCCCTTTTCCTTTGATATCCATTAATGGCTGAATATTCCTTAAATTTAAAATGGATATATATGTTTTCATCTTTATTTACAAAAATATCTTTGTCATACCTGTTTTTTTTTTTTATCTCCTCACATCTTATTAGATCTAGATAGACATAATAGATTTACAATTTAGAGTGTGGTGGGTTTTTTTTTTTTTCCTTTTGAAAGGGGGGGGGCGGTGGTGGAGATCTGTGCAAGAGCTTTTGTATGTTTCCAGATGATAGATTTTGGAATTTGGGCTACCCCACTGGCAGCACAGAGCTAGCTGTGAACTGGTCTCATGGAAAAAATTGGCGAGCTTTGGTCTTCAAAGAATTAAACTTCCTTTTTAAGGTCTTCCTAGGTAAGCTAAAAAATTATGAAGAAAAACCTTCTGAACAAAGGATAATGGTGCTATAATGAATAATGTGGGTGCCAGTAGAAGGCTGCTGAACAGTTACACTGATGTCAGTGCCTGGTCCAAAACAAAAACAGAAAGGCAGGTAGAACAACACTTCGCTGTTTTGGGGGCCTACCATTTGCATTTAACGAAGTGAATGCTAGAGGTCTTAAGCAAATATGTTTTCAAGAAAAGCATTTAAACTCCAGAATCTCTTTCCACTTCTAACTCCTAGGCCTCAAGTTACTCCTTTAGGGGAAAAAAAAAAAAAATAGAATGCTTGGAGTTTTACTATTTAGTTTGGTGGGAACTTTGTTACCTTTCTCCTTTGGTCTTTCCTCCTGTTTTTGTTTTGTTTTGTTCTGTTTTAATTCTTTTTTTGTGTATAAAATAAGCTGGGATATTACTTCCTTGGCCCAAGACTTGAATACTACTTCTGTGACTACATTTCAGTAATTGTACATTTTTTCCCCTACTAATCACCTATGACACTTTTGGTTTTAGTTTTCAGACAAATTTTCATTCTACTTAAAAGGCCGAAAACTTGAACAACCTATGAATTTAATCCCTTTTGTGGAAACTGCAATGGGTTTGCTCAATTTTAAGGTAAGAAAACATAATGTGACTAATAAGTTAGCATTTTATTTACTACCTATAGAGAACTTCTGTTCTCAATTTTGACATCTACTTAAACTATTTTTCTAGAAATATTTTTAAAGCAAAGTAAATCTTAAGCACCATTTATTGTCTATAATAATCCAAAACCAGGCTGTGAGCATCTTAGAAAACAAAGAGATTGGTCAAGTAGCAAGGGAAAACTTCCCAAACATATATATTTAAATGAAATATTTATATATTCTTATTTTAATTAAATAACTATATATAAATCTATGCTTTGAATTATTATATTCCTAGTTGAAATGTACATGAAAATGTATTTTGTTGCCCTTACAAATTAACTTGCAGTTATTTTTTTGTATACAATTGCCTTCTATTGGGAAATTTTCTGGCCTCTTTGTAGCAACATTATCCATAATGTCTACTATATAAGATTGCTATTTGTAGGTTAGTAGACATCAGTAAGTTATAGTATGTTATTTCAATTTGCCACATTAGAACATAAAGTATTTCCCGGTACACATTCAGCAAGATTAGCTGAGCCAAGGGTTTTCCAGCTTGTATGATTGGCTGCCTTGAACAATTTGCCTTAACAGTTTTATGGTTACCTTGTTTTCTCCCTTTTATCACTGATCATTTAAACAATTTTCCAAAACATGCCTCCCATTTCGCCCGACTTGTGAACATCAGCGTAGCACCCTATCTCCGAGGGCAGGAGGGAAGAAATCCCTAAAAACAAAGAAAAAAGATCGTTGAACTGCCTGAGAGAGATAATATGGGAGTAAACGCTCTAAGAGGAAACATTGAGACCTACCAGACCTTGCAGGAGGGCCAGGGGGCACATGTTTGGGGAGCCGTTTCCACCCTCATGATCAGTGTGTTTACACCACTGAGCACAGATTCTTCCAGCCTGCCCCACAGTTCCGAGATATAATCAAAGCCTATCCTTTAGATGCGACTAGGTTCATACAATGATTGAATTCTAAACTCTGTTGCACCATTTTACACCATAGTGTACTTAGAAGCACTTACAGCCCCTGAAATTAATCAACAGTGTCCTCACCAGATTTTCATGTCTTCCCTACCCATGTGCTGAATCTCTACCTTTGTAGATTCAGTTCCATCTATGGCAAATGTTATTAGTCTGTATTTTCACATAGAAATATGGAAGTTGCTAATCAAGATATCTTGGGTGACTTGTTGCATTTTTTATTTTCCCCTCTGGAGTTGTGGATTTTTATATTGTATGTCTTTAATCCTGAGGCCATTTGCTAAGAAATCCTGATCCCAATGCAAACAATCTAGTTAATTTGATTTAAGAATTCTTGTTATATTTTATGTTTATTATTTGAGTCTCTTAAAGCAAAAAAGAATTTTGGAAAAGCAGAAATAATTTATAGTACAATCAAAGTGAGTTAATTCAAAGTTTCTCTAGAAATTAGATGAACTATGATTTGAGCATTATATTAAAATACATTTATAACTATATTCTTACAATCCATTAAGCAAAGCAACTCTATACAACATTCTTATCTTGGACGATATTAAATGCCTTTCAAAAGGGATAGATTTGGGCTGCATTTTTAGGACTGCTAGTTTGCTTTCAGCCAAACTGTGTTAAGAGTTGGATCTTTCTTTCACTGAAATACACCATGCTGCTGCTCTCCAGACTGCATTTCTCTGAGATACGGTTATGTTCTGCTCTTTCACAGGCCGTGTGTGAAGAAGCACTAAAGACTGGACCTCAAGTGGGTCTTTTTCTAGATGCAGTTGTTTTTGGAGGAGAAGACTTTCGTGCCAGCATAGGTATCAAACACATTTCTCTCTCCCTTTTTCAATCTCTGTGTGTGTGTGCGTGCGTGCGTGCATGCGTGTGTGGATGGATGGATGGATTTTTTTCTTTGCCCCTTCATGAATGGACATTTACATGACAATATATATTTGCCAACCATGACAATGGTTGTTCAGCTGAATGGGCAATACGTTCTGATAATTTAGGGCCCCTCATAGCTGTCCTGCTTCCAGACCACTACATTATTACTTCTGTTCATGTATAAAATAATCAAAAGCCTGTTGCGACCTCAGATGTGTTCAGGAATATATGACATCTACTTTGTACATAATAATATATGAACAACCTCTCAGTTGCTTAAATATTTTGTTTTCATATTAGTGTGAGGGCTATCTAGGCTTCTAACACAAATTTAAGGCAATTTCACATTTGCTTTAATGAATCATTTTCTACACTAAATGTAGTATCCAAATATTATTTTTAAAAAATCTTAAATTCCTCCTAAGGTCATATTTTGGAACTCTTCTTATTAAGTATTTACTGAGATAGTATGCTAGTTTCCACTGATCTTCCCCATCCATTGGGCACTATGCCTCTGGTCTGGGTGCATGGGTAACTAGACACTGCGGGCACACCTAGAAAAGAGGCCAAGGCCACAAAGCATTTGCAGAACCACAGTTCCAGTGGCCTCAAGACTGGCGCTTTCTCTGCGCAGTGTCACGGTCCAAATAGAAACAGTGATACTCCATACACACCCGCTCCCAGGGTGAAAGAAAAGGAACTTATTTTAATACCAGCCTTTCCAGGAGACTTTTGTGTTTCCGACAGTTCAGTGGACACTTTCTGCCTCTTTCAAAATGAGTGCCCTTCCGTTTCCCCAAGTTCTTCGTCCAAACCCTGAAGCTGCTCTATTTGGCTCAGAACCTTAGTTATAGCAGGGCACTGCAACCACAGCATGCAAGTTTCTGTGCTCAGTGAGAGAAGTTAACCATTTCCTTGCACAGCCAGTCAGCCACCTTTTGTGGTGCTGTCTTTGGACTGATACTTTCCAAGCAATGGCAAGAAGGAAAAAATATACCAGGAGTAATTTGGGACCCATCATTTGTGATTATATCTCCTGAGAAACAGGAGGGGCCTTTTCTTAATCCACACACAAGTCATGGCACTGAACGATGCCTTCCAAGAGAAATAGACACATATGAAATTTAATTCTGCCCCCCCATATCCCTCTCTTTGTTTATACTAGAATCATTGTTTTGCTGGGGAGCAGTTTCCAGGATGACATAGATGCCTTTACAAAGGGAGTTTCTGCAATAGATAGCTGGGTTTGGTTTCCAGAGTTAATGTCTCCCTTTGCTGTCAACATCCCATTTCAGGTGCAACAAGTGGTAAAGAAGCCCAAGATATTCTGTACGCCCGACAAAAGATTATCGTCATAGCGAAAGCCTTTGGTCTACAGGCCATAGATCTGGTGTACATCGACTTTCAAGACAGAGAGGGGCTCCTGAGGCAGTCCAGGGAAGGAGCCGCAATGGGATTTACCGGTAGGACCCTTGATGACCTCTTAGAAGCAGTATCTAAATTCGCAGACATTCCAGAAAGGTACAAATGTAACCAGAAATTCGTGTTTCTGATGCAGCCACATGTCTCTTATACTTACTCTACTATTTGACATGTGAAAAGGCGATCAAGGGCAAGACCCTGCTGAAGAAATGGCTGTGGCTTCCTTTGGCTCCACAAGTCAAAAACCGAAGCACTCGTTTTATTTTCTCTTTACGTTAGTTACGATTTTTTCTCTTAGGTATTTTGTTTTTGCTGACCCTCAAGGAGGAATGAAGCTATTATAGAAGTGTTTTTGAGGGAACTGCCATAAGAACTTGGGTTGGTGGGTAGAAGGAACGTTTCCTCCAAGGTTCAAAATATTCATTTCTGAAAAAAAAAAACATTGGTGATCTCTGCTTTGATTTTTTTTTTTTACTCATAACTACTTTTATATTCTCCTTCCACTTCCAGCCCCTTCCTTCCCTCCCACCTCCCAGTACGTGTCTCTGCACCTGGCGACACCTACGGGCATTGGCTGGCACTCAGATCAGGGGTCCCCTGCAATCCCATCCTGGAGCGCAGGCAGATATCTCTTGATTGCTGGGTCTGATCACTCAGATCCCCAGGAGTCTGGGGAGCAATCGAAAATTGTGATTTTGCAATAGAAATCCATTTTTTTTGAAACCACAATAGGATTCTACACACAAACACACATCTGCAGTTGTGTTCACTCAAACACACACACGCAACCGTGTATAAGAGACACCCATAAGCTCTTTATTCTTATTTCTTCTGCTGCTGCATGTTCTAAGATATGATCTGAAATGAACCCAAATAAAGAGGAAAAGAGACTAATATCCTTGCTGTCCTTTTTATAAATATTTTTGAAGTGCATCCAGTTAGGAATTATGGAGAGAAATATTTCATACAGGGACCTTAAATGTAAAAAGTCTCCTAATGGATGGTGCTTTAACCCCAAATAAAATTAAACAACTTAAGAAGCAATGTTAATGTTAACATTAAATTGAAATAAAGCTCTGACATTTATTTTTATGGTTTTAACATGAAGAGTCAAAATAAAATGTGATTCCACCCGCCAGATTTGTTTAATAAATAAATGTGATCTCTTCTAGAGAAATAGTTTCTAATCATCTGAACTATTACTAAATGAATTCTCCCTACATTTAATAGTGACCAAGAAAGAAAGAGTCCCTCCATCCCAGCCCTGAGGTTGTCCTCGTCTCTGTGGTGTGTTATACCTGCCTCTTTCCAATGACCAGTTAGGAATAGCCCAAATGGAAAAGTTGGAGAAACGCTCCATGAAATCTATCTAATAGACCTCGATGTTGTTGGTCTAAAATGTGTAGCACTGGCTGCCAAGCAGCCAGATGTTGCTGTGAAATGGGCACTAATTCAATAAAAAAAATTTTGTTGAAAACACTGAATTAATGCTGGCCTGTGTCACCATCACACAGTATAACCTGAGTGTCCTCAGCTACCTTTGGGGTAAATGTTTGCTCCTGAACTTATAAAAGAGTTTGAGAATTTCTCCAAGAAACAGGACTGAATTAAATTGGTCCCTAATTCAATCGCAGAAGACAAGTTACTTCAAATCAGATTTAAATTTCTAGACTGTGCCCAACTCAGCATGAGGAGCTTACGGGCTTGGCACTATTGTTTCTCAACAACAGGGAGTATTAAATCACACACACACAAAAATGGAAGCGGGGGGAGAATGAGGAGGCACAGAGGGTACATGCCCATTATATATGCAAGTGAACAAGTCAGTAAAGTAGGGAGCTACACTTCAGAACCATTTTGCAATTTTTAGAAGGAAGGGCTTTGTTGTCCCAATTATATTTCTACATACCAATAAAAGGTAATTAGTCTGATAATAAGATATGAGATTACTTGTAGTATTTTTAAACAATAAGGCCTTTGAGTATTTTAGACCGAGTTGTGATCTGTTTGTCCTAATTATTTGTAGTTTAATTGCCATAACTTGGGCTTTGCACAGGAAGGGAGGACAGCGAGGAAGGAAGGAGGGACAGGAGGAAGGAGAAATACACACCCTATCTGAAGCAAGTGGTTGAAAGTTTTCAAATCAAGTGAAAGTATTCTGTTATCCCTAACAGTGATAAGGAACACTCCGTCTGTGCTATAAGGATTTTCTGTACTCTTCAAAATTATATATGTATTTTTAACGAGTTGTAGTTTTTTAAAAGTTAGCCATGCACAAAACAGTGGGTTATAGTTTCTTTTTTGCAGTTATTATTTCACTGGGCCACAGTCCATGCAGATTGGTTTTAAAACAATGTGTTGGCTCTATAAGTGGCTATTAACATTAGGAATTATTTTTATAAAAAGAAACCAAAAATAAATCATGGAATAAAGCTTCAACAGCTGACTTAGTCATCACAGGTATTCCAGTCCTGCATGCTGAGAAGAAAGATTATAAATATGAAGCACGGTAGGTTTTCTTCTTTTTTGCAGTCTTTTGTAGAAGACAAAAATGACACCATCATATAGTCACCTAAAAGACTTGACAGGTATTGATTTAAAGCACGATATATCAAGTGGTACTGTAAAAAGGATTTCATGGTCATAAATTTTAATGTCTTCCAATTTTGCACCCTCAGTAACTTGCCAATAACAGCTCTTCTGTATAAAATATTTGCTTCACTCCCACATGACATTGAAGTCTGACGTTCCGTTGTTGGGATATGTAAGAACCGACAAAAGATAGATGGATGTTCATAAATTTCTGAAACTGAACACATAGCTGAAAATTAGCCCCATTACCTAAGGATGGGTACTTGTAAGCCATCCGTGATTTCAGAGTATTTCTAAATAGTTTATGTTTTTCTCCTCAAGTCGTAGTGTCTCTACCAAGAAGTTCCTGTGAAATCTAGCTTTTTACACATCCATGTAAATTATGTACATAAATTATAAAATTCAGGACTAACAATTAGTACAAAATGACTACCAGAGCTTACATCCTTTATTGATAATATGGTAACAATGATTAGATTACTTAAATATAACTGCAATACCTATTATTAAAAAAACTCTCATTTATCATCACTGATATTATCTGTTCCCTGAAATTCTCAGTTTTAGTATATATGGTGCTGAAGTGAGCACGATTCCTCAAATAATTTAGCTTATTTGTATAGGGTTTTAATGTTTTATTAGTGTGCTGGCAGATAAGAATGAAATAACAATGTGAGAGAGTTCTAATTATGCTACTGTAAGAGAAGATACTGTTATATTTATTCATTTAAACTCTTTTCCATGAAATACTAAAAATTTTTTTACAAATGTTGGTTACTTTCCTATTCAATAGAATAATGAGAATAACAGGAATTGACCATTTTTAAAAACATCAAGGGTTTAATTTGTACTGCCTCAATGTTAAAACAACTATTTCGAAAGCAAACCAATATATGGACAAATATATTTAGGAGAGCAAATTATCATTAAGTGCACATTCATTTTTAAAGAATCAAGTATGTCCATAATTTTATCATGTAATAAAATATAATCTCATTATTATAACATTAAATTATGTTGTATTTTATTAACAACCTGATTCAATTCAATTGCATACTTCCCTGATTGTTAGATTGTTTCTTTTAATGACTTTGTGATTTCATAGGACCGTGTGAGCCTTATATTTGTGTAATGTTTTTACCTAAAATCCTTAAAATTTATGAAAGAAGCAGAAAGCTTTTTTAAAGCTATCACTACAGAGCTAATAATCAAAATATCTAAATATCAATAAGAGAGGGAAATATTGAGTCTTCATTCTATAAGGAAAAAGGAAAAATCTGGTTATGTTTTTGGATAGAGAAACTTTCTGTAACTTTTTTACTTAAACATTTTAAAATGGAGTATTCTAGAGACCACACCACTGTGTTCAAATCTGCCTTCTGTGTCACTGTACTAAATAAAAATTTTTCCCTGAAATCTAATTTTTTTGTTGGTGGTTAGAAGTGGCACACTGTATTCATCGAAAAGAAAGAAAATTAAACATATTACATTATTGTAAGCAGCTATTTTATATTAATATCTACTTGATATTAATATAGTTGTAACATCTGCTTCTTTAAGCTTTATGAAAACCAGCAGACTGCTCCTAAAAGAAATCGTGGCAGGTGGGATAATGGTACAAAATAAGCAAAAGGCAACCTGTAAAATTTGAAAGAGTTAACATATAATTTTTTTATACTTTAGCTCAAAATAATCACTCTGATTTGCAGATATTATCCTTTAAAGTTTCTGCCAAAGGATTAGCCAACAAGCTGCCAGTCTACCCACCTGTAACTAAAAATTAGAGATTATCTGCGCTAAGGTGGCATTTCTATAGGATCAGAAACATAATTATTCCCATTCTTCTAGGTTTCTTATGTGGTATTCTGGAAGAGCCTGCCAGATTGCAGGCCCTTTCTTTTTAAAAAGTTCTAAAATATTAGTTATTCTGCATACAGTCTGTGAGGCATTAGGAGACTTTCCTGGTTGAGACATTTTGTTTGAACATCTGTTTGTTGTTTTGTGTTCCGATGTTATTAATCTTCTTGTAGGTAAGCAGGTGATACACCCTAACCAGATTGCCCTGGTGCAGGAGCAGTTTTCTCCTTCCGCTGAAAAAATTAAGTGGGCTGAAGAACTGATCGCTGCCTTTAAAGAACATCAACAATTAGGAAAGGTAAACGTTTTGTTAATACCATGGGTGAAACTGGTGTTTAAAATACCATGGGGAAAAATATAAAAAATATATCATTTGAGTCGTTTCAAAAACCATTGCATCGTGAGGGGTAAGTTATGGGGGAGTGGGGACAGTGAGAAATTCACTTCAGGCATATTTGCCCTTCCATGTTTCTGAATATTTCACTAACTGGCCCTCAAGTCTCTCTATCGTTTATTCTTTTCATAAACTATATTGGCAGCCATTGAGAAAATAGAAGTCTGTTTAGTTTTTCTCTACAGACTCCAATGCAGCAGTCATAGGAAAATAATTTTAGATCAAAGTGAGAGCAAGTTGTAATGAAATAAACACAGTTTGATCAAATGGTCCTTGTGGAGAGAAGAAATAAATTCCAAGTTATTTTAATTTTGGGGGAAAAATGTACCAAAATCACCTCCGGTTGAGTCATTTAAGAGTGGGAGGTTGTATATGTGTCTGTACCAATTTCTGGACCTGAGATTTGGATAGAATGGAGAGCAAATTAACGCTGGAGTACGGTTGTTCCTAATTTAGTGCATCATTGAGCCTCGCGTTTCCTGCTCTGTGGGTTTCTGCTATGTAAATATTGCAGTGGTGATGCGCAATCTGTCTCCACTTTGTGCCAGTAACACTTAAATTAGGTGTCGCCTGAAGGAAGATTTTATGCTACTTGCAGCATTGTCAGTTAATTATCTTAAAGGTTATTTGCAGTAATACCGTTTGACTCTTTTTAAGAGAATGGGGGGAAAGTTGCATTTATAAATCTATCCTAGAGGTAATATCTGAACTCGGCCTTGTTACTTACGTAAGAAGTGGAGTATTAATACCTACGACACAAAAGTACTTAGGGGAGAAAGAATGTTGAAACATTACCAATGTTCTAAATCTTAAACAGTCCCCCTTACAAAAAAAAAAAAAAAAAAGATAAAACTGGCTCTGGGTGGTGAACTGATGACATCAGTGTGAGAGGTACCACTTAACACTTTTCACTGGCAGTAAAAACACCTAAAAATCCCTGGACTTGGAAATGAGGGTAACAGTATTAAGTGGGTCACTCCCTCCCTCTCATTATGGATACCTGCCTTCAGCTCTGACCTTGCACACACATTCGCCCTCACACACTCACAGGCTCATCGGTGCACAAACCTGCACTTAAAATCCAAAGGCAAAATGTGTGATATTAGAAACATGCCATTTGGACTGACACCAATTTCAGGATCGATAGTGTTCTTTGATTTCAAATCAGGAGTGGCTATCGGAGAAACACTGCAGTCTATAGAAAAATATTTTGAAGCTGACATTGCGTTTTATGTTCATTTCTATATCTTGACTCCAAAACCCAGGTGCTCCATGAATACACATAAATATTCACCTAAGAAAAGAGCCATGTGCTTTTCCATTCATACATGTAGATAACTCCATCCACTCCCCTCTCCTGCCTGTGCCTATTGCAGACACTCACTGAATGTTCTACACCTCTCTGTGTGTTTCTTCTGCCAGCTCAGGATATGCATGTGATAAATACTTCCTACTAAAATAATAAACTGAGGCAAAATATGGGTCATCAAAATGGCAGACCAAGCAGAGTTCCAGTCTGGGTCAACACGGCCTCTATTCACAGTCTGCCCTGGTTTTCACGTTGGATCATATCAAAGGATGCCACTGGCATTGTAAGCGGCTAGGAGTATGGAAGAGGTCACCCTAAATTTCGGTAGCCAACAGGCAAAATTCAAACTAGAAACATACTCTTGCTGGCATGTAAGTTCTTGAATGAAAGCAAAAACAACACTTTTCTATTTTATCTTAAAAGTGTTATTCCCAAACAGAATTGTCCCAAAGTGTCCTTGCCTTTTGATGGTGGCAACTTAAATGTTAAATTCTGAACTGGCTTTTCATTCTTTTTCTTTCTTTTTCTTTTTTTTAATAAGAAATGCTCTCTTGTTGGAGTATAAGCTTTCACAACAGTGTGACAGGACAGCTTTTCTTAACACAAAACCACAGAAATGAGAGCAGAAGGGAGACTTACTATTAGGTCATTTCCTCCCTGCCCCATTGCTGTAGGTTTGTTTCCTACAGCAAATTCTCCTGGTGCTTTGTCCAGCAAGGTTTAAATGATTCAAGTAATGGGGCTTCCAGTGGGGACATATGGTTATTTTATCCTGTTCGCATGTTTCTTTCACTTTGCCTATAAATTGGCTGGTCACAAAAATTGGGTCTGCAGGTAGGTGACTCTGGGTCTTGAAGGGTCTTAGGGTTTAAATAATGTGCAATCTGTTTCTAAAGATTCAGTATAAATAGGTTGCTCAATTGTATAAAGTATTGCTTCCAACAAACATCTAATCTGTTTTATTTTGAGCGTGATCCACTGATGAAAACATATACCCTTGGATATTTTGTCCAAAGCACAGGTGACTCTTTCAGCTACGAGAAACTGATAGTTTGTGTCCTAGTGAGACAGTTATAAATTTCCAAAAGACTTTTTTCCCCTGCTCTGATGAAAATTTCATTCAAGTAATGTTTTTAAGTAGAAATGACCCAAGAAAGCCAAATTATATATTTTTGCTTTGCTCTACTTCTGATAAATTATATTTAAATTCTATTCTGCCCAGAGACCAAAGTCCTAGCTAAAGTTCACAGGTAATGCTGGGCCATTTGTGTTTGCTATAGTAACAATAATTATTCTTGTTCCATAACTATAATAATTATTATCAAAAAGATAAGTTCGACCTTTTCTCCCATCCCTTCCAAATAACAAAATTTGTGGAAATACTTAGATCACTGGAGTTAGTGTTTGATTTGGTGTCACAGAATTTTTTGTTGTTTTATTTTAATTAGAGGTTCTTATGAATTACAGTCTGATGTCCCCTTAGTCTAATGTCAGATAAAAAATACATTAAAAAATAATAATCTGCTCATATAATCTGTCACCATTTGGCATAATGGTACCATTTGGGGTAATAATACTAGTGACTGCTTTGTTTCAGGAAACTATAGATATTTACAGGCTTCTAAAGAATTTTCCCTGGCAAAACAGTCCCCACTAATAAGAATTAGGCTATAGATTGACCTTAGGGACTCACATTCATCTTCTCTTATTAAAATCTGTTGGAAAAAGCTTAAACATTTCAGAATACTCTATGCTTCTATTTTAATTCCCATAAGCTAAAATATGTCTAACTTACTGACATGAGTTGTGAGACATATATCCTCAATATGAATCAAACTTGAGTCTTTCTCCCATCCTTCCAGAAAAATATATTTTGAGATACAACCGTCATGTCATTAATTATTTTAACTTCAAATAATTTGATAGAAACTGTAGCCAGGATAAATTACTTTCCACGTGATTTATTTTAAATTTATAAAGGATTTTCTTAAAGGTTAATTTTATTTCTGATGTCATTTTTTCCATAACAATGGCAATTCCTCTATTTGAAAATTCTCCATTCAGAACTGAATTTAGAATTGCTTATTAAAAAATTTTTTTATCAACTAAAAATTGTATATAGTATGAAAATTGGATAACTGAAATGAAAACATCTCAAGCAAATATTAAGTTTATGTCATGTTATATATTATATAACTTACATGTTAAGTATAAATATTTATGCAATATATATACATTCATCTGTTATGATGGAGCATACTTTTCATATCTCTATTATAAACTCAGTGCTAAATTTTTTCTCTTTTTGAATTCGTATCTTCTTGGGCAAAAATGACAGCTAAAGGAAATGATTGATAGGTAATCCTAGGATATCTTAATATAAGAATTCATCATTTCTTTATAAATAGAGACTCTAACAGAAAATGTGAAAGAATAGCAAAGTGTATTACATGTGATAGATTTTAAAGATACTTTGCTAGAATATTCCTGTTTCTGCAGTATCCTACCACAAATACGGCTGTGCATCACTTTCAGTTTTACTCATATCATTATCATAGGTGCTTCATTTGGTTTCAGAAGGATTTCGTTTAACTTTTTCGTTATTTTTCATTTGTTACAGCTTCGCAAGCTGGCTAAAAACCAAGGAAAGGGAAATGTTCCTGTCTAAAATCTAGGTTCAGTTAACAATTATAAAGGTCAAAAACAAGGTTGCTATTTGACATAATAACTGTAAACATCAGTGAAACATTCTAATTTCACTCGCAAGAAAACAATAATGCAAATTAATAAGTTTACTTTAATAAGCAAACCCTCTGCTGGAATATAAATTGGGAATTTATATCTTAATACAGACAGACTTTTTTTTTCCTCATGTAAGTCTTTTCATCTAGAGAATTACAAAGAATAATCCCCCCTCCCTCCACATACTGAAAGCAAATTATTTTCATAGGTATCTGATTGCGGCTCATACACCTTTCATTTGTGTTTCCAAATGCAGGGCTTTACAAAAGAAATACTGCTTGGGCCAGATGGCCTTCTAGAAGACTCCCTGAGAGAACTCAGAAGTCTCTCTAGCCAAAAATATTGTTTCCGCTTATTCAAGTGCCAGAAATCCCACTGCCACTCTTTCACGCAGATCAAATAAACCATCTAAAGATTTGGTTGTTGTCTTTGTCAGCTGAAAGGGTTGATTCCACTAATAGACAACAATGTACCATCCCACACCCATGTCCCACCACCCACAGCCTTTTCCTCTTTATTTGTAAGCAGGAATACGAAAATTAGAACCGAGTGATGTCTAGTGAAAATGAAAGATGAAGGAACACAACCCTACTTGTGAGATGCATAATTATTACATTTCCCCCTTTATCTCCTTGTTCATTTAATATTTTTAGAATTATATGCCATAGTTTTGACTTTAGAAAGTCAAATTCTTTAACAAGCTGAGAGTCTGCCTATGAGGACTTCAAGGTTGATATGATTCACAACAAATTGCAGATTTCTAAACATTTAAATCAAGGCAATACCATGCTGGTGATGATAGATCCTATTTCACATAGTTTTAGTGACAAATGGTTCAGTACTAGAGGATAAG